TATGATTGGTCAATTTCTTATTCTTACTTCCTACTTCTTACTGCTTACTTCCAATGTAGACGTCCCTTAAGAAGAATTAACGACTGTGAGTGGTCAATTTGCTTAAGGGACGTCTACATTGGAAGTAAACAGTAAGAAGTAGGAAGTAAGAATAAGAAATTGACCAATCATAGTTGATTATTCTTCTCACATTCGACTGTGGTTGGTCAATTTCTTACTCTTACTTCCTACTTCTTGCTATTTACTTCCAATGTAGACGTCCCTTTACTGCTACGTCATACTGTTTAAGTTTTTCTGTGTACCACGGTCCTTAGACTATGATGAAAGGGTAAACGTTACGCATATGCTTTGCACAGACAGAACACTGATATTGATACAGAAAAAGACAAACGAGCATTGTCTGCATCGTAGTGTTGCGGTACTGCTGAGAGCTCTACGCACCATATATTAGTATTACGTTCGCCCAAAGCGAACGCAGCCTAAGTCGTTTGAATTCGCGGCGTCGTCAATAGATGGCAGCTCGATAACGGCGCTATTGCGAACGCTGACACTTTTTGTCGCGTCGGGTACCATGTTCGTTTTCGTGTCGCGGTGAATAAGACGACCGCGTAACAGGTGAACCTATTTTTGTCGGTATCGCGGAGAGGGAACAAGACCGAGTGCCATCGCATACAACTTGAGGTATGCCTTTCTTGTAAAGCGAAACTCGCACGCTTACATCCACGCTTTACCCGCACACGACAGCGCCGGGTTGATCGAAAGCGCGGGTTGATACGAATATTATAATAAAACGATAATTTTACTTTTAAACATCGTAGCGACGTGAGACAAAAGTCGTTTGAAAGAGAAAATTGCCGCGTTTCCGATAACCGCGTGAAGTTGTTATTCCGTAGAATATAGATTGATCAGCATAATTATATAAACGTGAGAGACATCGGTTTTCGTGTTTTCATTAAAGTACGAACGAATCTGTGGTAAAGACCAATGAGGAAATTATTTGTTCGAATTTGTAACGCATTGGTTTTCTGTTCTTAACGGATATAAAGTGCGATTGAGAAGAAAAGAAAGAGAAAAGCGAGCGAGATGAATAATCCAAGTCTTCATATAGTTTCATATAGAGAGTCATATAACTTAAAAACACGCATAATTTGCAATAATTTATTTGATAAAATATTTTACAACATAGGTAACGCGAAGTTGTGTTGTAACGAAGTATACGACGTGTCGTTGGTTTCATTCAAATGATGTTATTGTTGCACCTATATTTTACGTCTCTTTCACCAACTACGCGTGGTATCTCTTCGCTTCGTTATCCTTTAGTGCGTCGATCTTATCGACGATATAAATTATTACACGTAAGAATTAACAACTAAGTGTAACGGTAGTAGTAACGCGAGAAACAGTCAATATATATTATATGCGTGGAGAATAAATACTAAAGTAACCATCGCAAGCTTCAGCTTTGTCTTACAAGTAGAAACGAACGTTACGTAGTCGCGCAATTATAAATACATCGTTAGTAATTGTAGAATGCCACGGTTTTTGTATCATTCTGTGCGTGTGATTATAGGGGACACTTCACGCTTCGTCGTCCGCCACTGGTCGCGATTAGACGCGCGTATTGGACCTTCACTATGAATAATTTCCTGCACGAGCAGTTAACGATAGAATCGCATTCGAACGACGAGACAAAAGGTGACGTCGCCCGTGTGACAGACATACTGGTGAGTTATCTGAGCGTTTCGACAGTAAAGAGAGAAGATCACTCTATCCTGACTAGATTAGCACTCGATAAGCACTCGTCTAGTCTCGTGAATCTTAGTTTTCATATATCTAACGATCGCTAACTTGTAGTACTATGGGAAGAAAAAAACGATCAATGGTACTTTCGATATTGTGCTATCTCAGTCAGGCGTGTATATAAGCTCGCGACACAAATAGCTTGATAACGATAAGGAAAGTCAAAATTGGAAAAATGCGGAAGGGATCATTTGTACACTGCGTACAAATAGTACACCGCGATGCGAATGCTCAGAGAAAAAGAGAGACAGATTTACACGTGTACAAATGCTTATTCGAACAGCTGCTTAGCGTAGTGCCAAATGCGGAAGAAGTACTCGTCTTTTCGGAGTAATCTCGCTCTCGCGTACGAATGTATATCGGCATCCATATTATGCTCCCGCAACCATGAGCTCGTATTTTCCGTGCTGAAGCTAATCGACGCGGTCTCGCCTTTGTCCATAGCTTCTGCGACTGGCTCCACAAACGGCTCCAATTCTATATAATCAATAAATATAATTAAATATTTACGTATTGACATGAGAAAAAATACATTTTCAAAAAAATACAAGATATTTATTCGATGGCTACTAATAGCACATTTACTTATACTAAAATAAAATATTTTTCAGAGAAAAATACAAACATTTTCTCTTAAAATCTTAGCCTTCTGTGAAAGCAATTGTTTATTCTATTTATCTAAGAATTTAGATTTAAGTCAATAATTAATATCCATCGAATAAATATTTTTTTTATTTTTTAAACATTTTTTCTCCTAGTGTGATAAATGAATATATATTATAATAAGAGTGATTATATATGCTAGTAATATTAGTTGGTATATTTTAATTTTAGAGATTCTCTCTGAAACTCTTTCAGCACAATTTTGTTGAGGAAAAATGATTTCTGTGTTGCTCACGGTTTTTATTAGCAGAAATTAAAATAATTAATGATAGCAAAGCATACCTGAAGTCGGTATGATCTTAAAAGGCTCTTCTGATTCCAAATGATCGCTAAATCCGATCTCGTTACGTGCGAAGATTCTCACAAGGTATTCATGATTCTCTTGCAAGTCTCTGATCATCAACTTCTGGATGTCCGCGCTCACTCTTCCTACTTCCATCCACATGGTCTTTTTCGCGTCTCTGATAGCGATTTTGTAACCTTCCAAGGGCGCGCCGCCGTCTGACTCAGGTCTGCCCCATTCGATGACCATCGTGTTCGCCGCAATTTGTCTCATTTCTAACGGGGCTGTAGGTGGTGATGGAACGTCTGAAAACAATCCAGTTGTTAGCAAATTGTTCATGTTCGCGTTAGTCATTTATCGTGATCACTTGTATCGCAAGCTGAACTCACTGGCATGAGTCTTCAGCGTGACTGGTTCGCTGTTGGTCGGTATGCTAAGTCCTACGCTGTTCTCCGCGAAGATCCTGAAGAGGAACTCGCTTTCCTTCAAGTTTTCTATGCAATATTGATGCGTTGTTGCGTCCAAAGTTACAACCTTCGTCCATCTGGCGCCTTTTCCGATTAACGGCCTCTTCTCGATCACGTAGCCTGCGATAGCGAGTATATCGAAATTAGAATAGTTGCTACGATATGAAGAATAATTCTTTATATTAGCCATGTCGCTTAGCGTGTCGCTACTCACCAATTAATTCCGATCCTCCTGTGCTAATCGGCGGCGACCAACTGAGAGTGACGCTCTTGCTCGTGACGTTCGTCACTCGCACGTTCAGTGGGCAGGAAGGTGGTGCTGAAGAAAATTTATATTATGATTTGCAGTGTGTATGTTCACTTTGTCGTGATTATCAGTTATTTTTCGTAACTACTGGAAAGCGCATTTGAAAGGTTTGAATTATAGGCTGAATATACAGGACTTACTCTTGACGACGACCATTTTCGTCGATGGGAATATGCCTAGTAGCGCGTATATGCTGCTTTCTGTAAGCTTTATTATCACTGAGCAAAAGCGAAAGCGTTAATGCAATGAAGCGATGTCTCACTAAGATCGACAAGTTAGAGAAATAAGCAGGATATCTATGAGCAATAAAGATACCCAAGAGAATAATTCGTGTCAACTTACTCGGTCGTTTGCCCGCCGTGACCGCTTCTTCTACTGTATACGGAGGACTGGTGCCGACGCTGTTCTTAGCTGTTATTCGGAAATTGTATGACGTGTCCGTTTTCAGATCGGACACGATAGTGTTAGTGATATCTCCTTTCGTACTGGCGATCTGAAAGAGCATTGCGATAGAAATATTGTGTAAACTATAGATTTGTTCGTTTTCGAAAGACTTCTGAACTAATTTATACTACTACTATTTATAATACTAATTTTAGTATAATTAAACTTTACAAAAAGCATATAACATTGTAAGAGAAAATATAATTTTAACGTAATTTTTACTACAATATTTTCTTTGCGTACATGAAAAATTATACTAACTTGTCGCCAAGCTTTTTTAGACGTCTCTTTTATCTCGACGATGTAATCCGTAATAGGAGTGCCGCCGTCGTTCTCCGGAGGCTCCCATTTAATCGTGAACGACGTCTTCGTCATCCCGGAGACTTCGAAGGGTCCTCTTGGCGGGCCCGGTGGTTCTGCCGAACAAAACTCGATTATTCCTTTGAATCAAAATTACTATTTTTTTTATTTAATGAAATTAATCGTTCTGTTTTTACCGAATGAAGTCCTTGTTTTGATCGGTTCGGATTCCAAGGGATCTGACGGTCCAACGGCATTCGTAGCGACTATTCTGAACACATAATAAACGTTCTGCTCCAATTTCTGCGCGCAGAAACTCTCAACCTCCTTGTCGACGTCGCCCACTTTTGTCCAGATCTGTTTGCTCGCTTCGCATTTCTCGATGGTGTATCTCTCTAGTTCTGCGCCACCATCTTCGAGCGGCGGTCGCCATTCAATAGTGACGCGATCTTGTCTGATCTCCTTCGCGATAACTGGTCCTTGGGGTTTGCTCGGCTTGTCTACGTGTCATAAAATATAATATCAAATACATTCAGATACATTCGATTGTTCTTGATTTGATTCTAGATTCTAATCTACTACATGGAGAGAATATTATAATTTTTTTATATAAATTCTTGTCAATTTTACTATGTTTCTCATGGAAACAGACTCAGTAAAATCCATCTTGCTAAAGAACGTAGTAAATTTTGCAAATCTTTTATATAATATCACATTTTAGTTTCTAAAATATATAAGTATGTAAGTAGTACACTTAGACCGAAAAGATGATCAATTGCTGTAGAATGTCGATCTATTCCTCGGTTACAAAATTCTACAGTAATTTTTGCCATAAAATTCTCTTCGTGTAGCATTGGAAAAACATTACTATCCTATATATAAATCGATCCGTCCCAAAAGCGCTGGCGCAACACTATTATTAATGTAGAGAGAAAATAGAGTTTTAAATTGAAAAAATACACGCTGACAAAAACATACTTGAAAATTTATTTATGTGAGATAAGTTTATTTCATAAGAATATAGACTTTATATTCCACAAATAAATTTTCATATATCTTTTTCTTAATGCACGTGATATACTCACCTATGACTCGGAGATGACATTCTATCGACGAACTACCAGCTTCGTTCGTTGCTTTCGCAGTGTAGCTGGCGGTGTCATCTCTCACGAGCGAAGGAATTGAGATAATAGACGTATTCTTCCCCGTTTCCACAGAAATGCGTTTGTCGGTGATCTTCTTGTTGTTTTTCTCCCACGTTATCTCCGGTCTTGGAAAACCGCTGAAGCGAATCTCGATCTGCCACTTATCGGCCACCGGTAGCCTCTGATTAGTCAGATCTTTGTCACAGGTTATCTTCGGAGATTCCTGAATCTTCAGCTGACACGACGTTTCCGCCGTCCCCGCGTCATTATGAGCCTTAACCGTGAACGTGGCCGAAGATGTTTCTGTGGTTCGTTGTATAGTATACTTAGTCATGCGATTTTCGTATGTGATGCTGCTGTCTTCGAAGGCAACATCATTTTTAAACCTGGAGAATAAAATTTCCAAGGTATGATTCGAGAATAGTTGGCGCAATTAGTTTCGTGGTTGAAAAATTACGCGAAAAGAAAGATACCATGTAATGCGAGGTGTCGGTATACCACCGATTACGCAGGAAAGCGTGACAGTCTCTTCCAATCCGATCACGATGCTTTGGAGCGGCTCGAGGATGGTAGGTGGTTCGGACGCTAATAGTTTGGAGATCTTTAGATACGGTGTATTTGGTGACGTGTCGCCCGGTCCAACCTCGTTGACAGCCGTCACATGGAAGGTATACTCTTTGTTGGTGGTTAGCTTGGTCAGCTTGTGCGTGGTATCGTTTATCGTCTCCGTGACTTTGCTCCATCTTGAAATCGAATAATTTTCTCATTTACTGAATAGATAATGAAGGTTTAATCCATAAATTTCTTAATGTGTGTGTGTATCTCATTCCAAACAAATTTACTCAAATAAATTTGGAAGATGTATTTGGCCCTATTTTTTAAGCAGTTTTGTAAATTTGGGAATACACTTACGAAGATTCCGCCTTTTCGCAGTATTCTAGAATGTATTCCACGATTGGGGAATGTCCGTCTGAATCTGGTTGTTTCCAATGAAGTGTAACGCTGTTGTCAGTTATCTCAAGAGGCTCGGGAGTTCCTGGTGCTCCGGGTACCTCTGTAATAATCGTGTATTAATTTCTAATGTAATTTTCTCGTATTATTTTGGTAGGAACCAGTTCCACACCCGAAAGTCGTTCGAATATTCGATATACAATAGACAGACACTTACGCATGACGATGATGTTAATTTCTATGCTGTCCTCTCCTTGGGAATTGGTCAACCTCAGGTTATAATCACCGATATCTTTTTCTTGTATGTCTCTGATCGTTAAGACGGCGGAACATTCATCGATGGATGTGATAATTCGTTTAGATTTCTTAAGAACGTGACCATTCACCGTCCATTCGTCAGTTGGTGTTGGAGTTGCCGTGAATTTCACGACGACCTCAATATCTTCGCCTTTTGTCGTTTTATATTTTGTGGGCGTGTCGGGATTGATCCTAGGTGGTGTCTCGATAACTAAGAAAGAATATTATAGGAGAATGTTAGATTTTGCCATACGTGAAATTCTATTTAAATTCATGAAGATTTGAAAATGGAGAAAAAGAGAATGAAAATGACAATATAGTGAGTTTACCTTCGACTTTCAATCTGGATGATGTTTTCACATTGGCAACTACGGCGGTGTATTCGGCGATATCTTCAGTTGTGCATTTCTTAACGATGAGTTTCTTGACGTTGCCTTCATCGATTATGTCGTACTTGATAGTTTGCTTGCGATTGATGATCTCGCTTTTCCTATAAATTTCACATGATTCATGCTATATATTTTTCTCTGTTGATTGATTGCAATTGTCAAAGTCGAGTTCTTTTTCAACTTACCTCAACCACGTCACCGGCACATCGGCACGCGACAATTCGATAAGGAAGGTTGCGTCGGTGTTGAGAGGCACCAGAGTGACGTCCGGCAGTTTTTTAATGAAGTCTACTTCGGGTTCTTCGACCGTCAGTCTGGCCGAAGAAGTTTGCTTCCCGACTTGGCAAGAATAGATTCCTGCGTCTTCCACTTCCGTGTCGTAGATTTTCAATTTCTGCTTCTTGCCATCGATCGACAGGCGCACATGCTCGGAGAATTGCAGCTCCTGGTCGTCTTTGAACCAGCGTACCAGAGCGTCACCCTTTGTCAACTCGATCTCGAAGGTTGCTCTCTCGCCTCTAGCTATATTTACATCCTGCATCATAGTGATGATCTCCGGTGGCAATTCGACAACCGTTACCTCCGCCGCGCATTCCTCATCCGGCAGGGCGCAAATGTATTCTCCCTCGTCGTGCACCGATGTGCTACGGATGAGAAGTTTCCTGACGGTGCCGTCTTTAACGAACTCCAGCTTGCCCTTGCTAGGTGTCAGCGTTTCGCCGTCTTTCCGCCATGTAACGTCTGCCGTTTGTGACGTGATCTCAACCTCCAGAATCGCCACGTCACGCTCCTTCACTTCGAAGTCCTGCAGCTTCCTGACGAACTCCGGCTTGGTGGCCCTGACTGTAACGTTACTAGATGTCACCTGGTTCTTGACGGTGCATTTGTACGTTCCTGCGTCGGCAACACCGCTCTTCTTGATGACTAGTCTGTGCACACGTCCTTCTTGAATCACCTCGCGATGATCCATTCCGCTGATCTCTTTGTCATTGTGCCACCAAACTGTAGAAACAGTGTGGGATGTCTCGCAGTTCAGCTCCAGAGTTTTATATTCGTCTACCACGATTTTGCTTTGCAACTCTCTCGTGAAGGAGACTTTGGCGACGTCCACCGTGACTTTCGCGCCATGAGAAGCTTTGCCGACCGGATTACTTGCTACGCACTTGTAATCGCCAGCATCTGTCTCGGAATCCGCATTTCTAATCTCGAGTAGAATATTTTCGCCGTCATAACTTTCCGTAATATTGGGTGATTTTTCAAGCGGCTTGTTGTTCCTGAGCCAAGTTACCTCCGGGACGGGGTTCCCGATGACTTTGGCGGCTAACCTAAAGGTACCTTTTTCCGGCACAACGACTTCTTGGAAGCGTTCAGTGAACAGCGGAGGTTCCGGTGCGCCACGCGGCACTTCTATATTTTAGAAATACAACCGCATCGTTATTTTAGAGTATTAATTTGTACGTGCGCATACGTACGAGATCTGAGAGATTATGGTATTACTTTGAAAGATATTAAAACCCCGACTCAATAAATGAATTATACTGAGAAAAAATGCTCGAAAATTTATTTGTGGGATATAAGATTTATTTTTGTGAAATGAAGTTTATTTCTGTAAGACAAATTTGTTCCTATAAATAAATTTTATATTCCACATATAAATAAATAAATTTTTGAATATTTTTTCTCAGTATAGTATTTGATTTTTCCGGGTTGAATATTTTTTTGTTAAATCGTGCATAATTGTACTTAGTAATCGGCGGCATAGCAACAACAAATGCATACCATACCCTGAACGAACGAAACATGCTTGTCGTTCGTAGACTGTGCAACGAGTGTAGACTTGGTATTAACTGAAAGCACATTAGAGTAAAGAAGCGTTTTGCAGCATTATATTTAGCGATACGCGATAGGCTTCACCTATTTTATCGATTAAAAATTCTGGAAACAAATTAAGATAATATGAAATTAAGACAAAGCGAAGCGTTAACATATTAAATGCGAAAGAACAGCCGTGATCATAACTAGAATATTTTTCATCATCGATCTTACTCTCAACGGTCAGCGTAGCTCGTGTTTCAGCTGTGCCCATGTCGTTGACAGCGGTGACCGAATATTCCCCAGTATCTCCTAGCTGAGGTTGAATCAGACTCAATGTATTGACATGTCTGTCTTGTTTTGGTTGCAAGCCTTTCACCGGCTTTCCGTCCTTGTACCATGTTATCTTGGGCGATGGATTGCCGACTATTTGAGTGGATAAGACAACAGTCTCGCCTTCTTTGATTATGTAAGATTGTAATGGCTCCAAGATTTCGGGCGGCTCGCTCTTTCCAGTCTTCACCTGTTTGTTTCGTGAGAAAAATTCGTTACATCGCGCATAACACGTACATTTATGAATGATTTTTATAAATATGATTCGTATTGTCAACCAACCTTCACAGGGATATCTATACTGGCCTCGCCTTCCCTGTTCTTTGCGACAATCTTGTATCTTCCCTCTTGCTTCTTTTGAATTTTGCTGATCTTCACAATGCTGCAGTACATGTGCATGTCACTTTCGGTCGCGACTACGATGTTTTGTTGACTGACCACCTGGGTATCCTTGAAATACCATGTTATATCTGGCTCGGGCACCGCGACTAGTCGGCACTCCAATAACACATCATCACCTTCGTCTACATATTTTGCTTTTGGTTTTCGAGAGAATGTAGGTGGTATACCCTCCAATATATCGGCGAGAGATGATTCTCTACATCGTAATAATAATAATTTCATTTTAGTTTTATTATTAGTTTTAAAACAGATATAATAATAATAATTTAGTCGCTTTTGTTGTCACATCGAGAAGAAATATTTAAACATTTATTTGTAAAATATAAAGTTTATTTACAGAAATAAACTTTATATTTCACACATAAATATTGAAATATCTTTTCTCAGTGCGTCTCAATTCGTTTAAGAGGACTTTGAAAACACGTACCTCGAAAGACTTTTCCTTGATGGACCAGTGATATCTGATCCGTGATCAGATAATGGTGCCTCGACGATGAGCTCGGTAGTGCTTGATGCGAAGCCTGCAGCGTTCTTTGCGACGCAAGTGAACATACCGGCGTCTTCTGGGAAGACTTCTCTGATTATTAAGGTCGCAACGTTATCTTCGTCATAATACATTTGAAAATCGACGGACGGTTTAATAATAGCAGTCTGGCGGAACCATGTTATTTGTGGTCTGGGTATGCCTTCTACTTGGCACTCAAATTGAATGGTGTACCCGTCCAGTGTGTGGATTGGTTGTAATTTCTCGATGAACTTTGGAGCTGATGCTTTTTCTCCTGGGCCCGGCTCTAAGAAAAGAGAAAGGAAAATGTCAGACGTGTTATATCAGAAGTTTTATACAAAATTTTAGATCGCAAACGTATTTGATGATTACGGTTTAGCTGATGAATTTCGTTGCACTTTTAATTTTGTTTCATAGTAGATACTCACTCTCAAAGATTGGCAATTTATCGATTTTCTCGTGCAGTTTTCGTTGCAAGTAAATAGTGTAATGCACTTCATTTAGTAGATACTGCGCTGGTACCCAGCCTTTTTCCTCGGTCAAATGCTTCTTTACAAACCACCAGTCCTGATTGGTATGATCTGTTGGGAAATAAATGTGGATGAAAAGAAATATATCGCAGATATGTATTAATTACGATTGAAATTGAGGCGATATTATTGATTATAGTATAAAATTATAGTAAAAGTAAAAACTTTACCAATAATATAAACTTTCTCTCCCTCGACCAAATTAATAGCTTCTTCTGTTTCGGCCTCGTAAGAACAAATTGAGAACATCGTGTCACCATCACGAACAACATATTCTAAAAGCCATTAATGAGTTAATTAAAACAAAACAAATATGATTTTATTAAACGGATATTATTATTGAACTATAACTAACCTTCTACGGAGATCTCTTCTTCCCTAGTAATGCTGAGAGATGCTTCTTCTGCAATATTTTATATATATGTAAATATACTGTAATGACGGTAGCACGCGTTTGCTTAATACAATTGCAGCTTTGCAAGAGATCTTTGAGGCGCATATAGCAGTTGTGTCAGCAGAGTCTTTCTATTTGCGAATATATGCTACTTAGTTTCGAAGATGCATGGTTTTACAGTAATTATGTAAATGATTGTTATTTCGTTATAAAATGCAACAATGAGATATAATGTTTACTACCGATATGCTTTTCTTACGCAGCGGGTTAATAAGAAAGTTAAGGACAGATTAGAAAGCTTTCTTTTAAACCTCGGATTTACTTGTATTTACGCTTCTTCTTGTCCCTCCCGCTTATTTGTCAAGCCTGTCGGTTGTTGCGTTTAGTCTTAGAGTCAATTTTATAAAACTTATAGGATTGTCCCTAATTTTTTACTGAAACTAGTGTTTTGTAATTGTAATATAAACGTCTTGGTAGCATAGATGGAAATATTATATAGAAATAACATTCATAGAAGAATAGTTTCAATAAGAAATTAGAGAGAAGTTCAAAGTCTTGTAATGTTGACAGTCCTGAGATTAATACATAGTAGTCAGTTGCAAAGTTTGACGGGGGAGTGGAAAAGACAAAGAGAAGTAAGTAAGCGTAAGTTTAAAAAATCGTCTCGAAAATGCACGTAATTCTGAGCGCTATTCGAGACGAAGACGCGTTAGCTGGATACTGGAAAAGGAAGACAAAGCCTAGAAATAGAGCGTGTACTCACTCTTCTCGTCAAGAGAATGTAAATAACTCCCTAAGAGTGTATTAATCGTTATATCAGCTGGAGCGTGTTAAATACATTTTATTTGCGAATATATACGAATATATAATGATAATAATAATAATAATAATATTTATTGGCGACTAACACACAGTACTACATTATTACACTCACTTGACAATACCAGGCGATCACAATGTACAATATAATCTAAAAATACTAAATTAATAATAATTACTTTAAACTAGCAATAATAACTTAGAATTAATGTAGAATTAACTAAACTAAAACTAAAATAGAAAATACAGATAAGAATATAAATGTTATACTGCGTCTCACTCATATATTAACGATTAATTAACCATAAGAATGATAATTTATGCGATTAGCTAGCTAACTAAGCGCAGCAGCACGAAAAGCGGAAGCTAGTTAAAATATTTAGCTACACAATAAATAAAAGCGGCCTTGAAATATGTATATAGATTTCATCAAACCTTCTTCATACGTCGAGACACGTCTCTTGCTTTTCAATTTCAGCGCCAAAGATTCGGCATCAGTTTCCTCGTAGGAAAATTTCCTATCGCGTTTCAGTTGCACTTTAACGTCATCTTCTTCAATCTCTTCTACGGTATATGGAGCCTTCTGTTTCTTCTTTCGGCGTCTTAACGGTATCCTCATTTCGTCGACATCGAGCTCCTCGACACTATATTCTTCTTTACCTTCTTCTTCTGATTCATCAATTATTTCTTCGACCGGTCCGGAATCGTCTTCGATTTCTTGAATAATTTTGATCGTTTCTTCGCCGGTCTCTTCAGAATATGTAAGCGGACGTTTCTTTGGCTTTAGACGGACTTTACCGGACATAGAAATATCTTCCTCTTCGTATGTATTCAACGAGATCTTAAATTCTTGTTCCACATCTTCCTTCATTTTTGTAGAGCGTGGTCTAAATGTTACGTTTTCTACTTCGGTGACTTCTTTGATATCCGGTCGGGGTTTCTTTTTTGGTCGTAATTTGCGTAAAGTAACATCTTCGTAAATTTCTTCAATGGGTTTCGGTACCTTCTTTGGTGGTTTACGTTTCAATGTAAACTCCTCGACTACCTCTTTCGGTTCTTCTACTTCTTCAATTTTCTGGATAGTCAATTCCTCTGCGATAACTTCTTCGATTTTCGGAGTAGGTTTCTTTCTTTTTAATAAAACATCTGTAGACACTTCTTCCTCTTCTTTAGGTTGTTCCAGAACAGGTTCCTTTTTCTTTAGCGTTACGGCCGTCTCCTCAATTTCCTCTAATACAGGAGCTTTCTTAGCAGGTTTCTTTTTAATAAAAACATCTTCAGTAATTACTTCTTCCTCTTCTTTTTCTATAACAGGCTTTTTAATTGTAATTTCATCTGCGGCTTCTTCTTTCACCGGCTTCTTTTTCGGCCTCTTCAATTCTACTTTTTCAGTTACCTCTTCCGGCACTTGCTCTTCTTCTTTAGGAACCGGTTTCTTTACAGTGACTTCGGCAGCAGCTTCTTCCGTAACGGGCTTCTTCTTTGGTTTCTTCTTCAACATGACCTCTTCAGTAATTTCTTCTACTTCCTCTTTCTTTTCCTCCACCACCGGTTTCTTAATCGTCACCTCATCTGCAGCTTCTTCCTTCACTGGCTTCTTTTTCGGTTTCTTTAATTCCACTTTTTCAGTTACTTCTTCCGGCACTTGCTCTTCTTCTTTCGGAACTGGTTTCTTTAGAGTGATTTCAGCTGCAGTCTCCTCCGTAACAGGTTTTTTCTTTGGCTTCTTCTTCAATGTGACTTCCTCAGTAATTTCTTCTACCTCCTCTTTCTTTTCTTCTACTACTGGTTTCTTAATCGTTACTTCATCTGCGGCTTCTTCTTTCACTGGCTTCTTTTTCGGTTTCTTTAATTCCACTTTTTCAGTTACTTCTTCCGGCACTTGCTCTTCTTCTTTCGGAACTGGTTTCTTTAGAGTGATTTCAGCTGCAGTCTCCTCCGTAACAGGTTTTTTCTTTGGCTTCTTCTTCAATGTGACTTCCTCAGTAATTTCTTCTACCTCCTCTTTCTTTTCTTCTACTACTGGTTTCTTAATCGTTACTTCATCTGCGGCTTCTTCTTTCACTGGCTTCTTTTTCGGTTTCTTTAATTCCACTTTTTCAGTTACTTCTTCCGGCACTTGCTCTTCTTCTTTCGGAACTGGTTTCTTTAGAGTGATTTCAGCTGCAGTCTC